ATTGCCTGAAGGGGACTTGATTTTTTTTTTCCCCTCAAAACCATCATCTGCACCGTTGTATCTGGTACATCACCAGAAACCAAGCACAGCAGAAAATATAAAAAAAAATATATACATATAAAAGCTGCTGTTCTAAAAGCTTTGGGGAGATGTGGGAGGTAACAACACCTGCAGAAGTCATCTAATTCATCATGCTCTGGATTTCTGCTGTCACATCTAGGAATGTCTCCCTGGGAGCTGGGCACACTGTGCCAGCAGGTCTCAGTCACTCTCCCAGGACAAACCCAGGAGCATTCAAGGACAGCAGCCCCTCTCATGCTGCCCACAGCCTTTAACAGAAACCTGGGCAGATCAAAAGGCACCACCTGCCCCGCGTGCACATCCAGCTTGTCTGAAGGCATGCAGACCCAGCAACAACTCCTAGCTGCAGTTAAATTATGCCCACTGAAATGATCATGCAATAACCTTGGATAACAAGAAAGAGGGACAGGCAGTGCTGTGTTACAGACAGCGCAAGCCTGGGAATTTGGAGGGAGCATGCAAAGATGCACACAGCCCATAGAGCTCTGTCTGAGTGCACAAAAGACCCACACAAAGCACTCTGATTCACGCTGAATGCCTACAGACGTGCAGAAGCAACCAAGTGAAAAGCCTTCTCTATATTGTTTCCCAATAATCTTAATGCAACTCACACGTCAGCCGGGGCACTGGACACTTGGTACTCACGGGAGGGTTTGCTGTGTCCGCCTGCTGCCAGCGCCAGGACGGGTGGATGCGGCTCAGAGGGAAGGCACATGGAGATGTGCAGAAAGGCTCTCCAGCCAGCGGGGCCCGGGTGGACGGGAAGAAGGGCCCCAGCCCCTCCTTGGGCCCCAGAGCCAGCAACACTTGTTCAGGGGATGGAGCGCAGGAAGGCTGGCATTCCTACAGCAGCAAGGACAATGGGGAGGGATGAGGAGGCGCTGCCATAATCAAACACAGGCCAGCTGGCCCTCCCCCAGGAAGGGCAGGCACCTCCTTCACTTGCCAAAGGCTTTGTTTTCTAAGCCACAAAGGACAAAGTGGCTGAGGAGAGGGAGGGGAGGAGGAGAGTGGAGGAGAACTGTCTGCGGGGGCAGATCCACACATGAGCTCAGGTAACCCACTCCAGGAAAGATGTCAACACAGATGGAGAGGCTCAGGCAAGGTTGTGTCTGCTCCGAGAAGAGCTCAGATACAGCAGCTCCCTGCACACAGCAGAAAGCACCCAGGGACAGCTGGAGATCGCTACTGAGGAACCAGAATCGGCACAGGCTGATGGCCAGGGGTCCTCTGAGGGAGGGGACCCAAGGGTGGCAGGCAGAGAATGCCATCGAAGGGACGGCTCATGGCACAGAGCCCAAAGAAATCCCAGCAAGGGAAATGCTACCACTTCTCTGCCACCCTCACCCCACCAACGCTGAGCGGTGGACCCTGAACAGCTGCCCTCAGGAAGCAAACGCAAGGCAAGGGCCCAAGCTGCAAGAGGCTCCCCGGCCACGGCAGAGCAATGCCCGTACTCTCCCTGAGCACCAAAAGAGGCAGCATCTTGCACAACATCCTGACAAGCAGGAAAAAACCCTTGGGGCTGCCTCAGGTGTCCTGTGATGATACAGGTTCTGGGCACCATACTGCTGCAGGGCTGCAGGGCACGCAGCTGCTGAGCCAGTGTGATGGGGACTCTACCCTTTCCAGTTGGGTCAGTGCTTTCTGGCAACAGAATTATTTTTGCCAGCAAGTATCATGCACCTTTGCTCCCGACCTTCTGCAGGACTGGTTGTCATCCCCGGGCTGGCACAGACCGTGCTGTGGGCTCGGCTGATCAGACACGCCGCTGCGAGGCAGGGAGCCGCAGC